CCTCCGACGGAACATCAATTTGATAAACTTAAAGCCCTCCTCATACAACGTACCAGTTTGTCGGATGAGAAAAGAATCCAACAATTGCTCACAGGCTGTGAACTAGGCCCACGTAAACCATCCCAGCTGCTCAGGCACATGCGCCAGTTAATCGGACACCATAAAGTAGACGAGGTAGTGCTGAAACAGATGTGGTTGCAACGTTTACCTAGAAATGTCCAGCAAATTTTAATCATCTCAGGAAAGTCGTATGACTTAGACCAACTAAGTGACATGGCAGATAGTATTTTGGATGTTTTATCCGATAACACCATAAGTCACGTAGCATCTGATAGTGCCACACCGTGTCATTCCACACCCACGGCAGACACACCGATACTCGCCGCCATTGCAGACTTAGCGGCAAGGATTGACAATTTGGAAACTAATAAGTCTGATCGACAAGTCCGGAGACGGACTTCACAAAGAAGGTCACCATCACGACGACGATCCTTCTCACGACAGCGTTCTTACACGTCTTCTCGGGATAGCAATATATGCTGGTATCACTGGAAGTTTGGACGTCATGCCCTGAAATGTGTAAAACCGTGCAGCTTTAGCGAAGCCAACCAGGCTCAGGGAAACGCCTCAGCCAGACAGTGATGGCGACAGCTGTTACTGGCAAGCAAACAAGTCGCCTCTTCTATGTGAAGGATAAAACTTCAGACACTTTATTCCTGGTAGACACGGGAGCAGAAGTTAGCGTAATCCCTCCTTCACTATCCAGGCGATCTACACGGACACCCGGAAAACTGTCTCTCCGGGCAGCTAACCACACAAGCATACAGACGTATGGAGAGCAATCCCTCATACTGGATCTAGGTTTACGTCGGCGTTTCACATGGATTTTCATAGTAGCCGACGTCAGTCACGCCATCCTCGGAGCAGATTTCTTGAGTAATTTCAACCTGTTAGTTGACGTCAACAATAAAAAACTGATTGATAACAACACCCATCTAAAGATCCATGGAATTATCTCCAGCTATTCTGTCTATAATATCAGTATTGAAAGACCAGCAGATTGCCCTTTTTCCTCCCTACTTCACCGTTTCCCTAAAATTCTTAAGCCGTCGTACAACATCGAGGACGTCCCTCACACAGTTACTCACAAGATAGTTACTACGGGTCAACCAGTTCGTGCTCGTCCCCGTAGATTACCCCCGGACAAATTGGCAGCAGCCAAGGCAGAATTTGAACACATGATGCAGCTCGGCATCATCAGACCCTCCAATAGTCCTTGGTCTTCGCCCTTACACATGGTGCCTAAAGCTGATCATGATTGGAGGCCATGTGGGGATTACCGACATTTAAACAATGCCACAGTTCCCGACCGTTATCCTATTCCTCATCTTCATGATTTCTCCCTGACATTACACGGAAAAACCATTTTTTCTAAAGTAGACTTGGTCAGGGCCTATCACCAAATACCAGTTGCCCAAGAGGATATCGAAAAAACGGCCATCATCACACCTTTCGGTTTGTTTGAATTTCTCCGCATGCCATTTGGCCTAAAGAACGCAGCACAATCCTTCCAACGTTTCATGGATCAGGTCACACAAGGTTTGGACTTTGTATTTGTATATATCGATGACGTTTTAATTGCTAGCTCGTCGCCCGAAGAACATACTGATCACCTCACCATCTTATTTCAACGATTTGAGCAATATGGAGTCGTCATTAACCCCAAAAAGTGCATATTCGGTGTCTCCTCTATACAGTTTCTGGGACACCACATAACCACGAATGGTATTACGCCTACGGAGGAAAAGATAGAGTCCATCAAAAACTTCCCCGAACCAGATTCACTCAAGAAGGTCAGACGTTTTTTGGGGATGTTTAATTTCTATCGGCGTTTCATTCCTTCGTGTGCCTCCATCGTCCAGCCGTTAACCGACCTCCTTAAAAATGATCCTAAAAAGTTTCAGTGGTCAGCTGAAGCACGCGAATCATTTTGCAACGCAAAAGATGCCTTATCCAGAGTCACTATGCTATCCCATATCAACCCCGAAGCGTCGCTTATTTTGTGCACAGATGCCTCCCAAGTAGCTGTAGGGGCAGTATTACAACAAAAGATGAAGGGCGAAGTCACCCCACTCGCATTCTTTTCTAAGAAGTTGGAACCGGCTCAGACACGATACAGCACTTTTGGGAGAGAATTGCTGGCCATATATCTTGCAGTGAAGCATTTCAGTTACTTACTACAGGGCCGGCATTTCACTATTTTTACTGACCACAAGCCCCTGTGTCATGCTTTCACTACTTCACTTGATAAACACTCCCCTAGAGAAGCCAGACAGTTGGATTATATCTCCCAATTTTCAACCGACATTCAGTACATCAAAGGGGATGCGAACGTGGTAGCCGATTCTCTTTCAAGAAGTGACATTAACCAGCTCCAAACGTCGGTAGACATCAGTCTTGATCGTATGGCTCAATTACAAAGAGATGACGTTGAACTCCAAACCTGCCGCAGAAACTCTTCCTTACAACTCAAAGATGTGCCTATCCCCTTATCAGATGCAACCATAGTCTGCGATGTATCTACCGGCACTAATCGTCCATTTGTCCCTCTCAGTTGCCGAAAAGCATTGTTCGAACATTTACATTCGCTTTCCCACCCTGGAGTACGCGCCACGGTCAGGCTGATCAGCGAACGCTTCGTGTGGCCTAAAATGAACTCTGACATTCGGAGATGGGCACGAGAATGTATCCAATGCCAATGCTCCAAAGTACACCGCCACACTATTACAACCCCGAAGACGTTTAAATTACCCGAAAGGAGATTTCAGCATATCCATATAGATATCGTGGGACCATTGCCAACATCAAGGGGATATACACATATCCTGACAGCGATTGATAGATTTACTCGTTGGGCTATTGCATGCCCCTTAAACGACATATCTGCTGAAAACGTTGCTTTAGTTTTTCTCGACCGTTGGGTGTCAAACTACGGTGTACCAACTACTATTACATCCGACCGCGGTCCTCAATTCCAATCGACACTCTTTCGCGAACTGACGAGACTTCTGGGAGTGAAACATATCTCCACAACAGCCTATCATCCGGCAGCGAATGGTCTAGTGGAAAGATTCCACAGACAACTGAAAAGCTCCCTGATGGCGCAGAATGATACATCTAAGTGGAGTGAATACTTACCTTTGATTTTACTTGGTATCCGTTCTACTATCAAAGAAGATTTAGGATGTACACCGGCTCAACTTGTCTATGGCACCAACCTAACCTTGCCTGGACAGCTAGTCCCCTCAGCCGATTCCACAGACGTGAACATTGCCGACTTCACTAACCGATTAACTAGACAAATGCTTCAACTTCAACCAACAGCACCTCGACAATCTCCCCGAAGAGATCAGATCAACAAACATCTACAAACTTGCAAATTCGTCTTCATTCGAGTCGACGCCATCAGAAAAGGATTGCAACCTCCATACGAAGGACCCTTTCAAGTTATTAAACGTTCAGACAAACACTTTACCGTGAACAAGAATGGAAAACGAGAGACTATTTCCATTGATCGAATCAAACCCGCATACACCGACAACGACTTCGAATCTACATCGGCAACTGCGCAATCAAATAATCAAACATCCGATTCCACTCCACCGGCACCAAGTCTTATCCTCCCTCCATATCAAACACGTAGTGGTCGGCAAATCAGTAAACCGGCTCGCTACGTTCATTTTGAGGACTAACAAAAGAAAAATAATTAAAAATTATTATTATCTTTTTCGTTTAGACATTATCATCATGACCGTTAGTATTTCGTCGTAAACTTTGATGTTACTATCACTATTATTTATTTATATGTACCTCACCGAAAAAACAGGTAGTGTCCTTTCCAAAAACTGCTGATCTTTAATCCATATTTTTTTTAATGTTTCTTTCCCCTCCTTAATTACTGTGTATTTACATATTTTTCTTTATACATTAAAAATCTATGTTCATGGTTAGTGCAAATTTAAGTGACATGACTTTCTATTTCAATTTTTATTGCTGAACTTATTGTATATGCTTTCAGACTTTACATGATTCACATACCTTCTCGCGTTTATGCATGTTGTAATATATCCCTATTTTTATCCAAAAGTTGCTATTACTATTATTATTTACTTCATAGTTTTACGTATCATTTTCCGGTTGTCTCTCCGGACCTCTAGGGGGGAGCCGTGTTGAGTACGTAACAATGTGATTGTACACTTTTTAGGTACTTGTATAAATTCGAGATATTGTACATAATTTTTGTTTAAATCGCTTCTTGTTGAAATATACATAACTTCCGTGTACAATTGAAAAATACACTCTGCTGTTGGAGACTTCGTCTTCTCCCTGGTCACCTCTACTTACTTGCTCCACTCACACCGTGTTGTAACTTTGGATTTATTGTAGGAGCCTACTACTTTCATCCGAAGACATTTCTACAACCGGAACACAGCAGCTACAGCAGACGCAGTCCAAACAGTTAACGTGCCTGTGGATTATATAATTAATTTGTAGCCGAGGACTTACACTTTATAACCAAGTAATCCTTTTTGTTGCTATAACTCGTCACTGTATTTTTGGTAATATATTGTGATTTAACACTCCACTGACTTGGATTATTACTTTTATACTTGGAATGTTAGTGAACTCTAATATTAGTCCCCTACACACTGCACCTTCTGGTATCTTTACTCTGTGCAAAGCGCAAGACTAAGTGGCACTCATCATGGGTCGATAATCGTAATTTCACCATGAAGCGGTGTTGGTATACACACTTATAGACTTTCAAAAGACGACAGGTCACGTCAAAGTTTTCCCAACCCTTTTTTTCTGCATTAATTTTATTAACTACATAAATAATTAGTTGCATGACGTTATTATCAGTACTGTTTTCTATAAATATAAGAGCCACAATGCAAAGTGTTAATAATAATATGTGACATGAAAAGATAACAAGAGAATCAAATACAAATGATTTATTTTATATGTAAACATGACAACATCCATATCAAAGTAAATTATGTACAGACTTTAATGCAGTTAGATGATCATTCATTACCTGAAACAAAAATAGTAAAAAATACAGAAACTATCCCATAGAAATAGTAATTGGTATTGTGTTTAGAATAGAAAATGCATTGATTAGGTTTTATTTCAAAAAAATGAACCCCTTTTTACTGACTACTAATAGGTGATGATGAAATTCATTGAAAAATAGGCGACTTTCCTTAACACTACAAAGTACCTTCTGAGAACCCTGTGCGAAGTCGGTAGCCCAAAGGCACTAATGACTAGCAGTCAATTTCATCCTATTGCGAAGTAGATTTCCTAACTGGTTAGTGAGTTCTTTGCGCCCACATCTAGCACTGAATCACGCAATTCATTGTATTGGCATCACTATTGCCATCTTTTCAAAATATGTCAGTTTGCTTAAATTATATATGAAGTTAAATTTCGATCACACTGAGTAATGAAACATTCACAGAACATACACATATAATAAACTAGCTTGCTTATATCTACCCACCAACGATGGAAAACCTGTAAATAATACTAAAGCACTGAAAGAGACTGACTGAGACAGTCTCACACTGACTAAACTCCCGTGGAGAAAAGGCATTGTCAAAACACGGACGCTAACAAAAGAGATATTCCTCAGATGTTTAATGCATATCACTTGCAACATGCTCTCTCCCTAGACATTGACAACACACACATGAAAGTTGTTGCATTCGCAGAAGTCTAATAATAAAAATTCTGAAGACACTAATCAATTACCTGCTTCAAGTTGACAACACTAATCACAGATTTCCATTTTCTCTTGCTTAACCTTCTTCGGTTTCTTTTTCTTCAAAACTTCAGAAGAGATAAAAGAAATACAAAAGATGACATTGAATAAATGGGAATTGCTTTAATCAATTTTTCAACTGAATACAAATGGGTGATAAGATTAGCTTTTCTCTCTCTCAGATTTTATCACTATGGATTTATTTGTCATTCAAGAATGATCTGATGACAGCCACATTCTCAGTATGCACGTGGTTGTCATCTAGATGATAGCAGTAAACAGTTAACAGTTTGGAGAGTATACATAATATCCATCCACTCTCACAGATCAAAAGCAACCTTCCTTTAGTCAGCGGCAACCATCGTAAGGACATTCAGTGTGCATGTGCTAACTTCAGCTTTCACAGGAAGAAGACATAGCAGCTGGGAGCTTTCATTCACCGGTCTCAAGCCTCTTCGAATTGAGTTTACCCAATTACAATGAAGAATAAATTTATCTCTTCAGTGCCTTAAGATTTCAGTAGAGACATGGATGTTTATTAGAAGGTGGCGTAATTAACACTACGCCTAACATTCCCTTCTTCTTGCGTTTAAGGTCAGCAAGTGAAATGAGCGAAAAATAATTTTTTTTTAAATGAATTACCTGGTACTGCTTCAGTAGACTGCTCAGAGTCATCCAATTTCTTGTGCTTCAACTTCTTTGATTTCTTCTTCATCTCATCTGAAGAAACAAACGGAATGTAAAAGATGAAATTAAATAAATAGGGATTCATATTAAGTAATATATATGTATATATAAAACAGTATTATTAACTGGAGGACGTTTCGAATATAAATTATTGTTCATAAACATGTCAATTGTAAATGCGCAACTTTGAACTCATTCATGACAAAGAACTTGAAGTGAAAACTAAGCCGCCAACAGTGGACATCATGTTAGAGTTACAACTATGCCTGACTTCTACAGTATTTAGGGTTCTAAGGAAAACCGTACGCGCAAACTGATAGAGTTATGTTGCAGCCATCAATATCCCCAATAGTGTCAGATATATCTATGGATAGGTGGGAAACGTTAGCAGTTGGAACATTCAGTCACAATGTTAAAGTGGTGTAAGTAAGTGCTGTAGAAATTCAGCATGTGAACAGATGTAATTCGATTCAATTATTGATTAGAAAATCATGAAAGGGAGCTTCCAATGTTATGCTACATTCTAAAAAGGAGACAAGATGGGAAGTTAAACAACAATGGTGTTTACAGGAAAACCATACATTCAAACCGGTAACTGGACTTCGATTCATCCTACCCCCATGTCAATAAAATAAGGCAGCACAACTAAATAGAATCGAAGAAATTAAATCATGGAAGAGGATTTACGGCACTTAATAATTACGCAGATATACTAATCAGTGTATATACTGACTGACTGGTTTCAACATAGAACTTTGCACAGATATGCAGCAGTTTCAGTTGCCACACCATGTAGTACACAAAGCAAGGGAAGAGTGTGAAGTGAGGTTCAAAAGACAGATAATAAACAGAAGTGCGACGGAGAAAGATTAGTAATATGTAAAAAACAATCATGTATATAGGAAATCATAGGAGCGATAAAAGTAATAATACGGACAACATGAATAACAAACATATACAGGAAAGTGCTTATGTTCAGAATACAGAATTCAAAATATTTTCTATAGTTTGGTTTGTAAGGCTTAGTTATGTTTTTACGAGTTGATAACGGATTGATATCAGTTAGAGAACCATTGAAAACCAAGGAGTACTGGACAGCTGCTTTTTCATCCTAGTTTGGATGGATGTCCCACCAATGACAATGGTTGGGGTCGCGCTAAATCACGAATTGGCAGAAGTTAGAATTCATGAGCCATTGAATCGGGTTCCAGTGGCCTTGTAACCGAAAGGACCTGGGTTCGAATCCCAGTGGGTGAGTACTGCCAATGATCCTCAAACTAGGATGAAACAGCAGCTGTCCAGTACTCCCTGGTTTTCTATAATTCAAAATATACTTAATATTGCCACACAAAGAAGGAAGCTCTGAAATATTACTTAGGATTCTTAACCAGGCAGAAATAAAAGTGGCATCTGAACACACAAACTCACTTAGAAACAAATTATGTCGGTTAAATGATACTCTGGAGCCCAGTAAACAAACTAATCTAGTTTAAGTAATAACCTAAAATGATTATGAGTTTAGATACATAGTATGTCGTGGACGATTCGATTAGTGGAGCTCGAAAACTTAGCAAATTCTAGACAGGTAGGTTATAATGCGATGAAAAATTTGGAAGAAGCTCAAATATAGCAATACATGAAGTTTCACACAACTATACAATAGGATGAGGCGTGGTAACAGTCATAAAATTTATCGTAACAAGTTCGGGAGAGAGAGATTGATAACTAAACCATTATCAATTGAGTCAACTGAATATACGTGCAATAGGAATGATTCAACACCTGTTGCAAATATCCAGAAAAATTCTGCTATCTTTCTGGCAATTAAGACAGAATTACGAGAACGAGTTTCAATGAGAAGTTGTGACAGGAGGTCGGGTGTGAGGACAAATAATCACCGATGATATTCTAGTGTCGGTTTGCAGGGATTTGGTTGGTTTCAAGATTTCATCATGAGCTAACGTCGGTTAGAGGACAGACGGAAAACCTAGTTTGAGACTCTTTACAGTAGGCATCCACCAGGTTCAGACATTGACCAGAGGTTGTGAATGTTGTGAACTGGCAGAAGTTGGAATTCATGTATCGGGGATTGGATCAGATGCCAGTAGCTTAACAGTAGACGAGCTCGCCCTGTAACTGGAAGGCCTTGGGCTAAAACCCTGGCAGTGGGTGCGTGCTGTGAAGAGTCCCAAACTAGGACGAAACAGCTGTTCAGTACTCTCATGTTTTCCAGTGATTCTCTAACCGACGTCAGCGCATGATGGAACATTATAACCAATCAAATCAAATCCCTGCAAAGCAATACTTGAGTACGACAACTATAGAAAGCAAGCTTCAAGCTTGTGTAGGTACAAGTGATATGATTAAAAAACCAATAAACTGTGTTTGAAACACCATACAGTAGGAAAATATTGTTCCACTGCATGCTGTATCCAATAAACAAACCGAGACAGAATTACACACAACTAGAGTGCCCAAGCCTAATACATATTTTCAAAGAGAACTTAAAATGAATTAATTCTTTAACCTAATCGAAACGCATGATAACATGTTCCTTCGTTGAAAAGGTGAAAAGCAACGACCAATTTGAATTACCTGGTACTGGTTCAATAGACTTCTCAGAGTCGTCCAATTTCTTGTGCTTGGAATTCTTTGATTTCTTCTCATTTTTAGCTGAAGAAGAGACAAACGAAATGGTAAAGGAAAAAATTAGATAAAGTGGGGATTTATTTCAATCAACTGATTTTTCAATTGAATGCGAATAATTGATAAGATGCTTTTTTGTCTCTTTCGGATTTTATCCCTATGAAGTTATGTCAGTCAAGAGAATGATTTGCAACTCATTTCACTGGGTGATGGGTTCAGCGTAATAAAGTCACGTAAGAAAATTGGAAGAAAATATGTCTTCTAATCACTTAGTAAATAACACTGAAAAACATTGTACTAAGACATTGTAAATCAATCCAGTGAGTGATGAGATTGTTCTAAGAAAGAAACACAATTTTCATACATTTGATTCCCTTGATAAATTTTGATAGAGAAAGAAAGACCAGATTCGCAGTGTAAAATGATATCATTCTATTTCACAGGTTCTCATCAGCCGCAAACCACTTCATTGTTTGAAAGGTAATAGAGAAGACATTATAAGGTGAACGCATCTGGAATGTAAGTATTATAATCTAAGTCACCATCAATTTATATATTGTCAAACTATGAAAAGAGAAAAAAAGGGGAGGGGTGAGAGAAGACAGAAAACAGAAAAATCTAATAAACAGTGTCAACATGGCCACTCAAGAAGGTCAAAGTTCATCAATTTGAAAACTTGCTTAGTGAGCTCAGCTCACACACACAAACACAACTTTCTGCCAACAGTAATCATCGCTTCGAACAACTATTGGTTGAAATTTTGATATTATATTCTTTCTTCTACTACAGGTAGTCTATGTCTGCTGTTATGGAGAACAACTGATAGTCGCCATGATTAATTAATGCGAGTAAATTATGTGGTAGGTATTTTCAGTGTGTAATACAATGCCAAAAGTTACTTTTTTTCCCTTCACATTCCCCAGTGGAACATAGAGCTTCAAGCGAGCAGTTTCTGTAGTAGTGTTTATTTCTTACAGGATGGGGTGTCCAACCTCACGTCCAACCTTTCCTCTTTGCCAGGATTATTTCTGGCTCAGTGAGGTAAAGAAGTGCGTCGGCCAGAGATCGAACCCCGGAACATGTGCACGGTCGGCGAGCGTCCTAACTGCTATGCCACCGACGCACATGTTACGAGTTATGCTTAATGTGAAGACCTTTAATACTAGCAGGATTTCTTTTAGGCCACCGTAGGCAATTGAATCTGTACACCATCAAATGTTTAAGCTGAGAGTCATGCTTTTATGTGTTAAGCAAATAGGTGATAATAGTTTTTTTTTTAAAAACTTTTTAAAGGAGTAAATGAAGCGAAAAATGCAGTCTAATTCAAATCGAATCTTTTATTGATATTCACCAGTTCGAAATCTCTTGTGAAGTCAGTTATTTCGGGTGTACAAATAAATATATTCACCATTCAAATTTCTGGATAGGGTAGGACAAATATTATACTAAGTTACATTCTCATAATAGTGAAAAAGTTATCTGAATCATATATCGAACATTTCATCCACCTTTCATATGCAACAACAGTCATCAGAATTTCCTTCAAGACAACAAAATTATATTGTCCTTACAACGTCAATAAGTACAGGATGTTTTTACTCAACACAGCAACATTTACTTTACTAGATGACAGAAAACAAATTCCATTATGGGTAAATATTTGTTTTGATAAAGTCTCACAGTGTTATACAGTAATGTTTACTGATGACGTTTCGAGCACAATTTATTGCTCATAATAATATTATTTACAAAATACCCTGTAATGACTGTGAGCTAAGTCAACTACATAGGTCAAGCCAGTAGGTCAGGGGTAGTCAGATTGTCAGAACATAAGAATTTAGCTAAGGTAAGAATGGTTGACCCCGAGAAGATAAATAATTTAGAAAAAAGCTCAGCAATTGCAATGCATGCGCTAACACACAACCACACAATAGGGTGGGAGAGGGTTAAAATTCTAAAAAGTAATCTAGGTAGGTGGAGAGAGAGGCTGATTACTGAATCCTTGTTCATCGAGTCTACACCCAACACATGCAATAGGAATGACTCATCACTCATACTGGAAATATGAAAAATACTATTACCAATCAAATCAAGTGAAAAACAATGGAACCATATAAATGAATGTAGGAAGTCGTGTGATTACCTTGATATGATTAGGAGCAATAAATTGTGCTCGAAACGTCATCAGTAAACATTACTGTATAACACTGTGAGACTTTATCAAGACAAAAATTTACCCATAATGGAATTACACTCTACCACAGTGCACAAGTTTTATTCTTATATCAACGACAGAAAACAAACTTACCAGTGTCTGGTTTTAATTTGATTTCCTTAGTAATCAATTTCTTTTTGTCTGAGTGGGAAACAAGACAAATGAATGAAATAAATACCACTAAATTTTCAAAAGAATAGATGAATACCAAAATCAAGTTGTAAAGTGGTTTACTTTCTTACAAACATTCATGTTCAGTAAGTATTATTTACATTTTATTCCTTTGCATTACGACTGGGACATAGGGCTTCAAGAATGAGCTATGAAGTTTCAGTAGCAGTGGAGAGTTCATATTCACAGGGTGAGATTGCCAGCCACACTACAAAACTTCGCTATTTACCGGGCTTGCTACAGGAACAGCTTAACCTGAGAGTGTATCAGCCATAGGTCGAACCCCAGGCCACATGAGTAGTCAGCGAGTATTCTACCACAAAGCCACCGACGCTCTTATTCAATATCAGTCTTGATATATTACCACACACATACACACCGCCATCATCAGCGGAAACGCCACTGAGAATTAACGCATTAAATAGGTACTCATGCAACCTTCAAAAATATCTTTGCTGATGAAACATCAACGACTGAATACAAAAGCCTGAAAAGAATTAAATTATACTAATAACCTACTCGTTTTTGAGTGAACTCAGAACACCCGAGTTGAAACCTTTTACCTAGACTCAGTAAGTAATGGTGATTAAAAAGATTGTTTAACAAGTCCTACTATATTCGTTGGCATAGCCTATAAGACGAAAAAAAATGATGTACATGCACCATAGTAAAAGTGTGAAAGAGTGTGGTGCTTCTCTCGGCCTATGTTCAATTCATCTCCATCTCCTTCTGGATGCATGTTAGGTAACCGCTTGTTGACAGGTTCGCTGTACTGCCTGAGTTTCTGGGTGCTTATCATTTTCGACCAACCACCTTATCTTCAACATCTATAACTTCAACACAACTGAATATAGGTCTTACAGATATGCAGAAATATTCATACTCGTTGATGGTTTGAACAGATGAAAAATATCAATAACCCATAATATACTGTCAACACATTAACCGTAATACACAGTTGATTTTCAGTTAATCCACATTCAAACTTCCGTCCTGCAACTTAATTCCAGTTCGCCGAAAAGCACATCTTGCAAAACATGCTTTAGTCCGAGAAAAAACCAAATATTATGAAACACTTCAAAGTCATCCCATCTCAAGTTGGCAGTCATTGAATTTGTTCGTCGAGAGTATCATGCAGAGTTTTATAACAAAAAAAAGACTAGGAATTCAACCACTGACCACCTTGTTGTTGTTGTTGTTGAGACATAATATCCAAACAACTACTTCCTTTCTGATTAAAGGTGAATATAACCTCACTTGTCAATCGGTGACAGTATATTCACCTCATATCCATGAGATTCAGAAGCGATCTATATGAAAATCCTTAGGAAAAATCAATAAAACTATTCATAAAAGCCATGATGACTACTTACACCAACGTTTTATTTTTAAATGGTGTTCATCAACTCCTTTTTTCTTAAGTTCTCTGATTATGACCTCGTTTTGTTTAGTATTCTTCAGAGTGACAAACACATTTCTTAAATAAGAATAAAAGATAAGCAAATATACGAGTAAAATAAGCGATAGTAAATTAAAATTGGAAGACTGAAATGTTAATGGGTAACAAGCTAATATGAAAATAAAACTGTACAAGTATTTAGGCTAAGATTACACAATACTGAAATCACAATCCTTAGGAGTCAACAACAAATTGCCTAAATTCACCAATCTTCCGTGTATTTATCCAGTTTAACTGCCCCCGTTTAGCCGTTCACAATTAAGCAAGTTCATCGTCGAACTTCTCAACACTTCTCATATCTTGTTTAGACAAAAGAGCGAATAAAGGTATATGCAGCTCAATACTAGCACATCTTGTCGATACTGGATATCACGCCGACACTTATTAAGCTTTTAATATTACTTATCGTATTTCAACCAACCATTCTCATGCCCTACGACTATCACTTTTACATACAGCAAAGGGCAGTCTGAATTGTATCTGAATCAGCAAAATCTGTGTTTAAGTGGAATTTGTGCAACCTCATTATTGATCGTGGCAGCGCACAAAATATGTATGCGTTCTTCGAAATGATTTGCCACTAACCTTGTAGCTATTATTCAACATTATTTTATTTCCCTACGACTACTGTCTCAGCTAATTTAATTAATTTATGTATCTTGTTATTTATACGTAATTTATATTTGTCAATTTTGCTTGGTCATTATTTTACAGACTATTGTTTGTGTAATAACTTGGTCGCTAGTGTTCACAAACTGACAGATCCTGAATCCGGTGGTTATTTTAACTGACTAACATAACTATATGAGTAACTAGTTGAAAAAATTCTTGGCTCAATTTATTGTTGGTTTTTTTGAAGTGGAATGGTGGAATTGTGTTCCATGAGCAACTTAAACCATTCAGCTCGGATGACAAAATTATATCAAAATTATCCACCTTAGCTACAAATATATATATATATATATATATGTACGTCACAGTTGTATGAGAAGTACGACAAATCTTTTTTTAAAAAGGGACAATATTCAATAACGAAAAAGACATCTGGATTAGACGGTGGAGGTCAGTGTTTGTACGACAGATATCACTATTCCGAATTCTCGAAAATAGAGGCATGCATTTTGTCCCTAATTATGATGCCTCAGTGATGAGATTAATTTAGGAATGCAACCTATGTCAGTGATATTTCTGTCCTAGTTATCCAAAGTGATCAGATCTTTGCTCATCGATTTTTTGAACTCTTACTCTTCCTTGACTGTGATTTATTGTAATAGTGAAATTGAGTTGATTGTAGTTTAAAAAAGACAGGTATCTGTCAGAAAACAGACATTAGCACTACTTCAATAAAGTCAGCTCTACCCAACGGTATATAGAACCATGTCGCATATTTACGAACCAACAAACTGAAACGGTAAAACAAACTGATGCACAGTGATGAGACCACTAACCTTTTCAACGAATCAATAGGTACTGAACAGTACTGCACAATGGAGCCTGACGGAAATAGTCCTCGAATTTTATCGTCTCCTACTGTTGTGGGTAGCTTGCATATTTTTATATCAATATTAGTGGTTGGATTGGGCCTCACACTGAAATGTAGACCGACCACAGCTTTAACAGGTCGACCGCCAATCTCCTTATTTTGACAAGCATCTAAAACAACCTGAAGATCATCCTTACATTCGAACTCTAGTAAGCATGACCTAAACAAGAAAACAAAACAAGATTTAATAGAAGAACTTTAGAACACACTGTGAAACGACAGAAAAACCTTAACTCGAATTAACTTAGCAAAACGTTTACAAATATGCAAAAGGAAATCAAAATAACAGAAGTTTATATAGTTTGACATAAGTTTTCATACAGTCTGATCGAAAACCGCTATGACTTTGACTGAAGAGAACATTTCAGCGCCATCAGCATCCTTATAATTTTCCCGTTACCTTTTTTACTGAACTCCCAACATATTAAAGAAAATTCCGGGAACTTGGTCAAATACGCAGTTACATCGTTTACATTTGTCTGTAATGAAGGACAACTTGTCAGACAACAGAAAACAAAAACCTCTTTGTTGGAAACGGGGTAAACAGTCAGTCGTGTATAAGCATGTATACCTATTTTTGAAAAAATTACATAAGAGAAAGGCTACCAAATTTGATCAATTATGAAGTGACAGAATATAAACCACTTTCAAAAATCAGTTAACTTACATAAAGCTGACCTCTCTTTAAAAATGATATGAAACTTTTTTGGAAGTATCATAAAACACTTGCTATGGAAGGAGAAGACACTACTGAATGTCATAATCCTAATGCAACACCAACTAATCACATAATCTGAAATTACTCTACTTTAATTCACATGTTTACCACAGACTTACTCAGTGATGTGAATATTTTTTATTTATTTTTTGATTACAGCTTGATTCCACATCGTATTTTTGGTACAAGTATGGAATTTTCAGCATGAATATCGGTAGCCCGAATTTCGCAGGCCGACCATAGATATCAGGTTGTGAGCTCAAAAGAGTTGGAATCGTACCCCCTTCCCCACAACTAACCCGTACAACTAAGAATGAGTAGTCAAGTATTGGTTTGTAGGGATTCGGGTGATTGGTTACAGGATTTCACCATGAGCTGACATCAGTTAGAGAACCACTGGAAAACCTGGGAGTACTGGACAGCTGTTTCGTCCTAGTTTGGGACTCTTCATCAGCACGCACCCACCAGAGGGGTTTGAACCCAGGACCTTCTGGTTACAAGGTCAGCTCGTAGACTATTGATCCACTGGGACTCAATACAATGGTCGTTGAATTCTAACTTCTGCTAATTCACGACGTAGCGCAACCGCTAGCCAATGTTTTCGGCGAATATTTGTCTTCACACCCGACCTGTTGCATTCTACTGGCCACAACTTCTCACCAGAACCCCAGGTAACTACTACCTACCTGAATAGTGCTAGTCCCAGTAAGCATCTCATTGATATTGAAGTATTGGTTTGTAGGGATTTGGTTGATTAGTTACAGGGTTTCATTAAGAACTGACATTGGTTAGAGAACCATAGGAAAACCTGGGAGTACTGGACAGAATGAGTAGACTTCTCTTTTCCTCTTAAGATGCTTCCATGCCACACGACCATAACCTCTGACAGGTCAATCCTATTCACTGCCTTCAAGCAGCGCGTATAATTCGCAAAACTAAAAATGGAGAATGTGGCTATCTGATGCCTGCAACAGTACTCGTTTACATAGTGTGCCGAAAAACCCTGACTCCAAACCTATAATCTACATGAACTCCAGAATCCAAATGGACCGAAAGGCATGCGAACCTTTCCTGATTACATGCTACCATGGGAACACAGCTCTTGTCGCTGCCCCACTACCTCGCGCATCAGACTTCAAGTCAGAGGCTCGGAGGGCGGCCTCTTACAACAACAACAACCTGCTTCAGTCTGAGCGTCAGAGTCCTTACACAGACTATGAGACTTTGTGTGGCATATCTTTTTGATGTTCACAATGTACCAATTTTGTGTTTTAATAAAATCAATTTATCATCTAACTTGTGATTGGACGACACAAATGTGTCATTGATAAACGAACTGAAAAGCTTGAAAAAGCTTTACACATTGAGTTAACTGTCTTTTTAGGAAACCTCACTATCTGAAAACAGTTAGTTGCATAAAAATCTAGCGACCTAATTTCACTTCTCAAAATGCTCAAATGTTGGGGTAAATCATTGTAAATCAACTTGTCTTTGTAAGGCCGATAAGATTCATAGTGGTTTTATTATTAGTGATTATAATTGCCTGGTGGCTCCACGGCTGGATTAAGAGGTGAATATGACATTACATCGAACGCCACTAATATGGTGCACGAGTCCAGAGATGCATCTGACGACATGCACACAAAGTTCTAAAGGCACTAAATACTGAACATTATTATCTTGCATTTAAGAAATATAAATATAAATGTTCATTTCTATATGAGCTGGGATTTACAACTACAACGTTCAATTGGAGCGATCGCATTCCCATGAATTTGTAATTTATGAGCTAAGAAAACTAAAAGACTGACATCAAAATCGATTATCACAGGAAACCGTGTATATAATAGAAGAATAAAGTTAAAATAAAACCTACCCTTTATTAGTACCATCTTTCTTAGTGTTTATTGTGATCGATTTTGCTAGAGGAAATTCATTTTCTAATTCATCTGCAGTAATGGAATACGGTAAGTTGCGAATTGTCAGCCTCAAATCATCACCTTCAGTTTTAATTTTGTCTTTTTTGCGGCGAACAACTTGTTTATACGATGGCTGGATCGATGGATGTAAGTTAAAAACACAGTGAAGTTAACATGTAAAATCATTTAGTAATTATTTTTGGCAAATAGACAAATAGACTGACGCAGAACCTGGAACCTTACAATTTATAACCATAAACAAGGAAGAAATACATATAAGTAAAATGTCATTACAGTTAAAATAAAATAGGGACATGACAAGCACATAACTAGAGATAAGTAGAAATAATTGCGTCGGTGGCACAGCGGTTAGGACGCACGCCAACCATGCACATGGTCCGGGGTTCGATCCCCGGCCGACGAACTCCTTTACCTCTCTGAGCCAGAAATAAAGCTGGCAAAAAGGAAAGGTTGGGCATGAGGCTAGCAACCCCATCCTGTTAAAAATAAATACTGCTACAGAAACTTCAAGCCTCTATCTTGAAGTCCTATGTTCCATTGGGGAACTTGAAGGAAAAAAGTGGAAATAATTAAAATATTGATTGGTGTAATCATAATTAGTTTGGATATTTATGATCTGAAATTCTGAAGTGCAGCACTATTTATTCAGATACAAAAACAATACGGTTGTAAATAACGGTAGCAAGTAAGTGAACGTGTATAACGAAAACTAACGGGATTTAAAAGGAACTAGTGAAATAGATGAAATCTTCTATTACGAAAAATATCACCTTGTTATACGACTATAATTCTGTAAACGCAAACAACACTGGAATAACCATATTCTCATGGAAATTATGTTCAAATAACATTACGAGAACGAAAAATGTTTACGTTAGGCTGAATATCGACACTGAGCGCTCTGTTAACGCCTCTAATTATTTCACACTTCTGATTTTATTTTACAACTTTTACATAAAACAATGGGTTTTTTACTCATTAACCACTTTATTGAGATTGAAAATGAATTCAAATAAAACGTTTTACATGGCGTATAGATTATAAAATTAGCTGAGCTCGTTAAAAAACTCACTTTAACTCCATCAAACTCAAGTTCCTCCAAACGACTGACAGCATTTGTAAAATCTTCCATATTGGCAAAATTGGCAAATGCGTGACGCTTTGCAGCCTTTTTAAACAATCGTAATCGTGATGCTGATGGGATGGCCTCTCTGAGCATAGTATAATTTATATAATTTGGTAAATTGGTAATACGTAAAGAGGCATTGCACTGATGCTTACTGCGATGTTCTTCTGTAAGCATAAAGAAGAATTTGTAAAATCTGATAAGTTTAAATAATAATAAATGGTTGTGATACAACTCAGAAACTTGGTGCATGGTAAAACTCCTCCCCAAGGTGAGCTACACTCAAGATACAAGGCTTACCGATACCACCGAATCATCGCAGTTAAAGTAGGTACGATATGAACCGACTGGTTGGAAGTCAGGTGTTTACTTTTACTATTATAAAAAGCCGACTTGGTACCTTGTGAACCCCAAAAAGATGTGCCACACAAAGTCTCTAGTTCTGTGTAAGGACTCTGACGCTCAGACTGAAGCAGGTTGTTGTTGTTGTAAGAGGCCGCCCTCCGAGCCTCTGACTTGAAGTCTGATGCGCGAGGTAGTGGGGCAGCGACAAGAGCTGTGTTCCCATGGTAGCATGTAATCAGGAAAGGTTCGCATGCCTTTCGGTCCATTTGGATTCTGGAGTTCATGTAGATTATAGGTTTGGAGTCAGGGTTTTTCGGCACACTATGTAAACGAGTACTGTTGTAGGCATTAGATGTTAACATTCGCCTTTATGAAATGTGTAGGGCCACCTTGCTTAAACCGATAGAACAAATCCATTCAGAATAAGGTATTTCTGACTTGAATCAATAAAATAATGTAGTCAGAGAAGCGAACAATATCTATTAATACATTGCAGATATCTGCCTATACAAAAATGTGTATACAGTTAACCTAAACATTCAATCATATCTGGCTCTCTATGTGGAACTCGCCCCAACCTTTAATTAATTTTTACCATTCAGCTTCACATAGGAGAATAAACATTTCAGTATTTTACCAAAATGTATGATTTCAGTGAGACGAAAATCCGGTCTACTGACCCATAGAGTAGCTATTTATTGATATCAAATTCCTGGCAGGCGGAATTTTCTAAATGAAATGTCTTTACAACATATAGAGTATCTGGTGCTCAAACAGCATGTTAGACGAGAAATTCAAGTCACTGTGAACATCCTATATTCAAAATACTGTAAAATGTCCGAGGAAAAAACACTATACTGCCATCAGACACTAACAGAAGACAATTATCATAACCATGGTGGATACGTTTTTCCAACTACAAGTCAGCTCTACAAGCAAACTATCAGTTTCTCGCACTAAATAGTGTGTACAATGTCGCAATAAAACCCTTACCTTTTTCTTCCGCAGAAGCAGAATGATCTGAAATCATGTCAGACAGGACTTTAGACTTTTTTTTACGATCTTTCTTTTTTAATTCTCCATCATGTTTTTTCGGCTTGAAATCAACAGAAGAACCATTTTGACTCAACTTAACCTTCTTTTCTACGGTTTTGGAGTCGCTTTTTTTTCGCTTTTTTTGCAAGTGTCTATCTAACTGGTTCTTTTTGGCACCAACTGATGCTGAATCTGTACTGCCATGGAACTCTTTTGTGAATTTGGCGGAAGTGGGCATTATTTTTATTTTCGAAGATTCTTCATTAGATCCTGACTGCATTTTTGTGAATAATACCTGCGGGCAAGGATTCACAGAAACAGAACGAATTACGTAATAACTTCAAGGATTAAACAGTACTGCAAACCCTGGTTTACATAATCTACAGACAACTGTACAATATTGCATCTAAGAAAAAATATAATAGATGAAAAAATATAAATACTTAGCCATGGGCTGCGCGCGAACTTTGAAAAGGGAGTTAATTTTCACGCTCTTGTTTATAATTGGATTTTGTTGTGTTATACGCTTCAAAAGTCCACAGATTTAACTTTAAATCAGTTTATTCTGGTCGAAGTTAGTTTACGTTTCAGATCTGAGTCTATTAATTATAGGAAGTGTTCTTATAACATAATAGCTACATATATCTATCTTTGTGCACTCATTAGCTTTTATCACTGATTTACAAAGGTTATATATATATATATTTGAAGTTGTATTTAACTTTTCCTGGTTCGTTTTAAATAAAATGCCTATCAAAAGAAACCGCTGCGGAAGGGCTATGTGCCAGTTTCCAGTGGATGAGGGAATGCAGTGTGATAACTGCAAGAGATGGTTTCACAGTATGTGCACGAACCTTACTCCAGCAGCATACAAACGCTGCTGCAAACCTCTAGCGAACTGGTTATGCAACGACTGCTGTAGTACAACTAAACTCCGTATTACAGAAGCCATAGCTACTCTTAGTGGGGCTTTAAAGCTCATGGACTGCAAGCGTCCTCCACCACAGAAGAATACCGACTATTGCTCAGATAGCGATGACGTGACTAGCGTCATTGACAAAACAGCACATGTCCCAGATGCGACCTTGCCAATAAGTGAGTGCTCTACAGCACAGAAGAACACCCACCATATTACAGACACCCAGGTCGCCCCCACGATACTGGATGAGCCCTCCAGTGACAGTAATGGAAAGACTGCCGTGAAGAAGAGGCGTACTAGGGGTCGAAAACCTGCAGCTCCAGTCGCCCAGGGACTGGCGGAACAAGCCTCATCCACACCGGTGAGCAGCAGACAGACGAACCCCACTAAGATTAGCGAGGAGGACGCCAATGAATGGCGCACCGTAGTCTCTCGCAAAAAGCGAGATAAGGATAACACTTCGGCCACACCGCCCAAGAAGGATAGAAACACACTTACGCCTCAGGGCAAGAAAGTAACGGAAAGCAAACCCGATCTCTCTGATAGGTCTCTCATTCTCCACAAAGTGGAGGAGTCACTGGCTCTCGACCCTAAGACCAGATTCGAGCATGACCTTAACTTGGTCAAGCCCCTTTTAGACAAGCTACTGCCACAAACAGTATCAGGCATTACTATACACAGCGTATACAGAATAGGTCAAAAGCCTGACCCTACAGTAAGTGAACCTGTACGTCTCCTCAAAGTCGTACTAAACTCTAAAGCGGAGAGGGACGCTATTCTAAGCAACTCTCATATTCTCAAAGGATCAGGGATATATGTCCGCGCTGACTTAAGCCTAGCAGACCGTGTCAAAAGACAGGCTGCGGCACTAGAATTAAGTGAGCGACGCCGGAACGGTGAGAAGAACCTTAAGATTAAGGGTTTTCGGGTTGTCCGAGTTCGCAGTTTAATGATCCCGAAACCTCTGTGGGTGGGCCGGGGAAGCACCAATCTGAATTAACAGTCTGCTACACAAACGCCCGCAGCCTGTTAAATAAAAGGACTGAGCTGGCAAACATGATAGAAACCGGAAACCCGGATGTAATTATTATCACAGAGACATGGCTCACACCCGATGTCACTGACAACGAAGTTAACCTGCCAAACTTCGAAGTGCACAGGGTAGACCGACTAAACCGCAAAGGAGGGGGCGTAGTCATCTACCTCAAGAAAGGCTTAACCGTGCGTAGTATCGAAGCACTCGCCCACGAAAGTGAGTCGTGCGAACTTCTACGCTGCAGACTTAAATGCATAGGCCAAGACATTGACCTCATTGCTGTGTACCGCAGTCCTGACTGCAGTGCAGACGACTTCCTAATAGAGAAGCTAGGCTCCTGGACTTCAAAATGTCGAAGTCTCGTAGTCGGTGACTTCAACGCCCCAACAGTTGACTGGTCGAGCCTAACAACTCCATCTTCAGTCAACTCCTTTGACCATAAACTGCTAGAATCTAGTATATCGCTAGCCCTAGTCCAACATATCATTAAGCCCACGCGCTATGACTCACAGCACTCCTCATCAACTCTGGACCTAGTGTTCTCACACGGTGAGGATGTGGATCTCATACAACATCTTCCTCCGTTAGGAAGAAGTGACCATGCTGTGCTCACTTTCAAGTTCACAGCAACGGCAGCAAGGGCCAAAACCCCAGCTCGACCAAACGTTTGGAAAGCTGACATAAATGCGATCGTCTCAGCAGCCAACTCAGTAAACTGGTACATCAATCCAGAGTCCCAAGTAGAAGCCGCATGGAACCAATTTAAGCAACTTTACGCCCAAGTAACTGTACCCTTCATCCCTTGGTCTGTTCCAAAGGGTCGGAAACATTCCCCCCCTTGGATAAACCGGGAGATTCGTAAGTTACTCAGACGTAAACGCAAATGTTGGAACCTGTTTGCAACACTTGAGACTTCTGAGACCAGGGAATTATATACTACTGCTAGAAATAAAGCTATCGCAGAAATCCGCCAATCAAGGATGAAGTTCGAGACACACCTGGCCCAAAATGCAAAGGCACAACCTAAGAAAATTTTCTCGTACTTGAATTTCAGGAATAAAACACCCAATGGTGTCCCAAACCTGATTATTGACAAAGATACAATCGAAGAAGATCAAGAAAAAGCAGAAGCAATGGCAAACTACTTCTCCCAAGTCTTCACTCAGGAGTCATCACTGCCTATAGGATCAGCTCTGGCTGCATCAGAAGAACATGGGATAGATTCCGTTGACATCGACCAAGGCATCGTGCTCAACTTCTTAATGAAACTAGATGCAGGAAAATCAATGGGTCCTGACAGTCTTCATCCAAGGCTTCTCAAGGAGCTATCAGCCCACATAGCCGGCCCCTTGACCACGATCTTCAAGCTATCTCTCCTAAATGGAGTGTTGCCACGTGATTGGAAAGACGCCATAGTAACCCCCATACACAAAGGAGGATCAAGACAAAGCCCTTCAAATTACAGGCCTATCAGTCTCACCAGCACTTTAATCAAGACACTGGAAAGAATTATCAAGAAAAGCATCATGGCTTATCTGGAAAATAGCAGCTTGTTATCTGGAGCACAGCATGGCTTCCGGAGGAACCTCTCATGCCTGTCAAATCTCCTGACTGCAAGAGAAAGCTGGGTCAAATCAAAGGACAACAGAAGACCCGTTGACGTCGTCTTCATAGACTTCAGTAAAGCCTTTGATAAAGTACCTCACAAAAGACTACTCATGAAATTGGAAAGTCTTGGTATCAAAGGCAGACTACTAGACTGGCTCAGGGAATTCCTCATAGATAGGAGGCAGAGGGTTAGGATCAACTCAAAACTCTCCTCCTGGACAGCAGTAAGTAGCGGAGTGCCACAAGGCACGGTTCTCGGTCCTCTCCTTTTTATTCTGTATATCAATGAGTTACCTCTGCTCACCGACTCCCCTATGGTCCTATACGCAGATGACTTAAAAATTTGGAGGGAGCTGAAGGGCAACAGTGATACGTCCACCTTGCAAGACGACCTCAACAAACTGTCGGAGTGGTCTGTTGAATGGATGCTCCCGATCAATGTGGCAAAATGTGCAACCATGCGCATTGGACAAGCAAGCACGAGCTCCTACGAACTAGAGGGAATAACACTTCCATCAGTTCAGACTCACTTGGACTTAGGTGTCATAGTTAGCCACGACTTAAAAACTACAGCACACTGTCGCGCGGTGGCTGCACGTAGTTTCAGGTCCTTATGGGCGATTCGCAGAGCCTTTACAAGAATTACCAGAGATATGTTCACCTCCTTATACACATCTCTGGTTAGGTCAAGACTGGAAAACTGCATCCAGGCCGCCAGTCCGTGTCTAAAAGGGGATTCACACATTCTAGAAAGTGTTCAAAGGAAGGCAACACGTATGGTTCACGGCATAGCTAACTTATCATACGAGGAAAGACTAGATAGTTTAAATCTCTTCTCACTGTCATACCGTAGGCAGAGAGGAGATTTAATCACAATGTTTAAAATTTTAAATAATGACTACGGACCTGACCTATTCTCTCTTTTCCTTCCCACCAGGTCGGAACACCTTAGAGGACATAGCAGGAAAGTTCAAAAGCCAAGGAGAAATCATATTGCTGTTGAGTACTGGTTCTCACATCGAGTCATAAACTCTTGGAACCGACTCCCAGAAGAAGTGGTGTCTGCAACCTCAACTGATTCGTTCAAGAAGGGTTTGGACAACCACAGAAATCTACTAGAAAAGGATTAACATAGGCTGCAAGCCTTCTATCCTCAACCAATAAATCTGAAATCTGTGTTAATATATGGCACAGGCTGTACAGATGGATATTACTGTGAAAAAAATTCTCGGTCGTAAATCACTCAAACAATTAACCAACTTACACACAACAATGCTACTTCCCATAATGTTACCTTTATGTAAACCCCAAATATGCATAAAAATTCCAACTGTAGTATGCAAATTATCATAACAAAACAAGACTGACATAATACCAATTAAACCCTAAACAATCAATTCCCAACACCACAATTAAGACTAATAGTAATGCCTCGATGTAATCATCCTAGGCACTGTATATCTACCTAGAGCTTTGAGATTTAACAATTTCACTTCAACTAACAAAAATCCTTATATTTGGAACACTCACCAAAACACATCAATTACTAAACGCTTACGTTCTACTGAGGACTGTAAAGCACACACTAGGGTTCCATGTGGAAGATTGGTTTTAAGTAGGACAACGTCATTACACTCTGTTATCTGTATTGGTTATCTGCACAAACGCAATAAACTCTTATTTTCACCATGTCATACTCAGATGCCATAATGGAGGTTGTAACCACATTTCAATCTTGAGATATCTTTAGGTGAGGTAATTTAGCCTAAATACATGATATAAAATTTCAGGGATGGTAAAATTATGAAAGCAGTCTAACCGATTGTTCAATACGCCGAATGTAAAAGATACAAACGCACAGACACACGTGATTACCTTCAAAAAGTATCACTCAATTTGAAGATCCGCTTCATATAAAAACCTCAAAGCAGTCTTTCAATATTCACGTAACGCTAAAAAGTGGAAAAATGTTAAAAATATGACATTTTGGCATTTTTCGATCGTTCATTCCATAATGTGGTGAACGAAGATCACAATAGGTTATCTCACAATGTTAATGCTGGCTGTTTGACAACGAATCTATTAATTGGACATTAATAAAGTTCTGTGACGCCATAGAGGAGAACCCAATGCATATCCATGGAACAAAAATACTTTTTATCATTCGATCCCAATTCGGTACCTTTTTTTACTCTCATCCAGAAGTAAACAGGATAATAGTGCAGGCATATTTCTGCAGCACGTAATAATATGTTAGTACATTCTTTTTTTAGATCAAAATACGAATCACTGTACTCGAATTTTTTAAAGCAATTTGCGGTGGAATATAGATAACTTCCGAGTACAATCCGAAATCAACTGTACTTCTGGCCGTCTCGCTTTCTCACTGGCCTATACTGACTTCTTTCATTACTGTGCTGTATACTTTGAATCTTGCAGGAACCTCTTATGGACATCCGAAGACTATTCTGCAAACGGTACATAGCTTCTACCAGTAAACTTGACTCTGGCAATGAACACCGGTGGATTATATAAATAATCTGTTTTCATGAACTTTAACCGTATACCCAAGTAGCCTTTAATTAGTATAAATCACTACTGTATTATATTGTAATATACTGTTACACTGTAGTCTTATTAACTTGGATTTTCATCCACATACTTGTTCTGTTATTGAACTCCCTAGAAAAATCCCTACAGCTTCATCGCAACTGAGTTATGTCTTAATAAATGAACCCGTTTCCTAACGAGTCAGTGCGTGACTTCATACACTAGCTCAAGAATTACTACAGTTGGCTGTGCATTATATATCTGCTCTGAGGAACTATATCTCGTTTGATGAGCCATTCACGGTTCACTCGTGGTTAAGACTCTCGCCTACCATGCACATAGCCCGTTGTTCGATCCCCTGCAAACCTTATATCAATGGTCGGCCAGCGAAATTTCAGGCTACCGATTTGACGTGCTAAAAATTCCATACCTGTATCAAAAATACGGTGTGAAATCAGGCTGCAATCAAAAATAAAATTAAAATAAAGGTATGTACTCAGATATGCATTGCCCATCTATATAAGAAAAATATGTTTAATGGTTCATCCAGACAGTTTATACAAACAGTGATAAATCCAATGAACTGACTGATTTATCCCAATGCAGATGAAAAGTTGATTGTTGGTACTAAAAGGGAGAGATCTTTCTGACTACATATAATATATGGTCCCATGCACTTTAGCGAGCAATGGGCAACGGTTCATAAAGTCATGTCTGAAGCACTGTTGCGTTGTGAATCTTGAAAATTGCCACAATTGCTTTGAAGAACCAGATGTTGGTGACAAGCTTGCATAGTTAAGTTGTACATTTGTATTTGTATTGTGACCTGCAGACAAACATTCTCATGAATGAAAAACAGGTTGTCACGCTGAGGCGCACTTCGAAATCAACTTTTGAATCGTTATTTAAAGGTGGTCAAGCTGGTAGTTACACACATCCGCCTGTAAAGTGTGTTCATGAAAACTTTTTAGTCTGGCTAGCAAAGGCAGAAAAGCAGTTGTCCTTCAGTCCAGCAATAAAGTACTTTTTGAATTCTGGATGCTCAGCTCCCTTTAAGATATCTCTCAAGCTCCTTCACGCGCAGCCGCATCTCTCAAAGGGACATATTGATATTGTTTAGGCATTAGAAATCCGAAACTTCAGACAAACACAACGCAGCCAAAAGATGTGAATTCAAACTTTGTCTCATCTTCTTAAACATAATTGGACTATTTCTTCAAGGACAACTCTGCCAAAATATTTTATTGATCAAACTTGCTATTTCTTCATTTCAATTCCTACTGTGTGACGTAACTCCTTCCCGCTATTCGCTAAATCTTGATATGTGACCAGAGAAAGATTTGGGAATTTCTCACCCCTTCGTTAAATATTCACGCCATCGAAACTAGACATATTTTTTGGCTGCGAATTTCCCCTATTTTCTCTGATTGAAAACCAGTGATGGGAAAGTTTCCAACCACATAAAACTGGGCTGTTGAAAACACGGCGGTAACCTGACGCGTTAGTGCCAAGCTTATTTTAAGTGATATGCAGTAGTAGTTTGACTCATATTTACACATTCTGTGAGGTTTTAGAAGATGAGGAACATCGATGATTATGCGAAGTACATCGTATACCTGGCAAGACTGTGAACATCGTACAACAATATCGGCCGCAACTAAAATGCATCAATAGCACCACTGACATAACCCTTCTGATGGGCTTGAGGACACTGAGTTTCCCTCTTGTCGCTTCAATATGATAATGTGATAAATATACAAAGTTCTGGTATATGTTCATCCATTAATTCTCGTGATTTATTTGCTTGTTGCTTAGTGTGCACTGCACTCGGAGGAAACAAAAGGTTTCGAAAAAATGTTATGGGATTGAAACATATGTGTATAACACGAAAAATGCGATAAGGTTGGGGATGAAAAAAGCTAATATGTTAGTTCTAATTTTGTCTCATTCATCAGCTTATTAGTAATGTGGCAAGTTTTAGTTTCCATTGCGTTTTGTACGCCGTGGAAGACTGAGAGTAGTGACTCATTCCAAGATGTAGTATTTGTGACTGGTAGCACAGCTGAAGCGTTCTACCACATACTTTTCCTGAGAATTGTAGGCTACTGTCCAGAAACGCGTGCAGCACTGGAATTAGGCCAAAAAGGCTGCTTTCGATTTTCTGTCCGCTTTTATGGAGGTTATGACCAAGGTTGATCATGCCACAAGTAGTTTATCCACATATCATCTTGACTCGCATCTTACCCGACGTTAAAGCACTTTTAACAAATAAAAGATACGGCAAGTTAGGAATGTGCTCCAAGGAGTAGAACTGTGAAACAGCGTTAAAGCCTATAACAATAGCTTTATTCCGAGAAAATGCTTTTAAACGTAATATAGAATTTCCAGCCATTTCCGTTACAAGGTATTTAGCCGTTGTGCAGAGTCCTCAAGTAATATAACAGCCGACAATGCATTATCCGAAGTAATATCGTTTTTCCCGAAGTATGCTCCAGTGCTACTCCAAAATGTTCTTCAATTTCCTAGCCGTAGGTACAAAACTGTTTGAAATTGTGTGCGGGTACATACTAGGCTAATCAGAACGATTTGAAAATGAGTAAAAATGATGCCTTAGAATTCTAGCAGAGTATTTAACCAGTGCAGTTATTCACTTATCCAGAAATTAAATGAATTTTAGGACACTGCAGTAATTTTGACGGCTTTAGAAATCCGTTTTAATGCAACTTAAGAATGTATAAAATGACGTTAGATTTTCCCACTACGAAATTTCATTGATTAATGTTGTGTAATAGTTTTCTCACTAAATTCCCGTAAAGGGACTTACCAAAATGTTCATATAAAGCTGCAAGTAGTTTTTGAAACACGAATTGACAATATTGAGCTCTATAGAATGTGTATATGTGCTGGTTAAGATTCATTTACGTAGGTGAGAATTTTGATTTTTCGTGGAAAGTAAATGGTGAGGAATACTTATGACAAGAGTTTGTCATCAACTCTTAGTGGTATGCAGTTATAAGTATACACTGTTGATGGTAAACAACGGGATTCAACCTGTACATTTAACATTATGTTTAGCACATATTTTTAGATATATTTGCATCCTAATAAATAGTATCCTACTGAGACTGTAGGACTTCACTTATAGTTTCAAATATCAGTTCATTCTTAACTAGGCTACACAGTCATTTTATCTGCTAACACTATCAACTGTCAGACTGCTCTAACAAACGTCTTATGGATAACCGTTGTCGTTCAAACTATGGCAACTGGACTACAGTCCAAGTGGGAGCTCACCAATTGGGATACAAATATGCTACTATATAAACTATACATACAAATACACTAGTCCCAAGTAGGAAGACGTCGGTGGCACAGCGGTTAGGATGCTCGCCAACCATGCACATGGTCCGGGGTTCGATCCCCGGCCGACGAACTCCTTTACCTCGTCGAGACAGAAACAAAGCTGGCAAAACGGAAAGGTTGGGCAACCCCATCCTGTTAAAAATAAACACTGCTACAGAAACTTCAAGCCTCTATCTTGAAGTCCTATGTTCCACTGGGGAACGTGAAGGAAAAAAAGTAGGAATTCGTACGAATCTTGATTTCCAATGTTAGCCCATACTGTAACAACAGAAGGCAAGACACGGAATATTTTTCATTAATCGAACCGCTGTTTATTTATATACAGTTTTTATTCTTTAACCAGTCACTGAATGTGATTTTGGTTTACGTTAACGACATGAAATGGAATGTTCAAATATACATAGTGTAAGATCAATTCATTTCCGATCCTTGAATCAAGTCAACCTGTTCCGGATCAGCCTAGCGTTGTTGCAACCCAATTATCCATGCCTAACGTGTCTATCCCCACTTGTTTAATGAACTGTGTGTATGTGCTTTTACCTCGATCCGTTTAGTTAGACAGTTGAACTCGTGACCCAGAGTATTTTGTGAACTGTTATTTTTGCTGACCCATGTCTTACTTTGTACTTTTCTGTCGAGTTTATCTTATTTATTGGATAATGCGACAGACAACGGCAACCAACGAGGGAACAGGCATAAAATGGACTGACACAAAAGACTTGGAGGATCTGGATTTCGCCGATGATATATGTCTGATTTCCCATAAACTGGAAGATATGCAAGTGAAAAGTAACAAGTTGGCAGAAGAAGCATCAAAGATAGGACTTCACGTGAACATAGATAAAACAGAGATAATGAAGATTCCTAGCCAACATCAACAACACCAACAGACCACAATAAGCATAAATGGGAAGAACCTGAAAGAAACAACCTCCTTCACCTACCTGGGAAGCATCGTCTCAACTACAGGCGGAACTGACGAGGACATCAAAGCCAGAATCGGTAAAGCAAGACAAGCTCTCATTACTCTCAAATCTG